AAAAAAAAAAAAAAAAAAAAACCACTCGTGTATATAAACGGTCACCAAACAAGTACTCGAGACAATCGCTAAAGTTTGGCGTGAGGCATTAAACACATTGTTCTCACGCATATATTTTTTGTTGAAACAGGTCAAAGGATGGCACGTGGCAAAATTACCTTTTTACCCCTATGCACCCTCATCATCTTGCTTCTCACCTCTCACACCCAAGGTGCATGCATGCATCATCATCTCAATCATTTCCTTTTATTGCATGCAAGAATTTGGTTTAATAAAAAGGAAACCATAAAAAGCATTGAATGTTTATATGGAGGCGAAATTCCGATTAAGCCCCTTGAGGTCTCGACTTGTTTTGTCCAGGTGACGAGAGGGCGTGTGCACCGACCATCACCCAGAGGCTAACCGGGTACGCGATCATGGGGAATCCCCAATGGGAAGTGACCATGTGGATGGGGTGCCATTGTGACATATACAATCTTGTGGTCTCGTGCGCTTTTTTTGGCTCGACTGACCCGAAAACTAACCCGGGCATCATCCAAAAGTACGTGGAGAATTTGTGCCTCATTAACCAAGGCTACCCGCTATACGGCTACATGGCCTACAAGTTCACGTACGCGTGGCATAGGGTCGAGATGAAGCCCGACCTCTTCGAGCTCAACTGCACGAATTATTGAACGTAAAATCTACGTGGATTTGTATATTTCTAGTATATAGTCTCGTGTACCGATTTTTGTTTTGCTTTGTTTTGATATGTTACGTGATGTACATCGGTTGATATGTGATGTGTATGTATGTGTTGTGCATTGATATGAAATATACAGACTGGCGAAATCGCTGACATTTACATTTGTTGACACCGATAAGACTTGGTCGTTATGTATTTACAGTAGTTTTGGTAACACCCAAGTACTATATAATATACACTACTAGAAAAATGGAGATTCAGATACATAAATTATTGTTGCGCGAGATCCACATGCATAATGTGGAATTTTTAAAAACCAAAGCACATATAATTACGAAGTACACCCGTACATTTGAAGATTTTTGAGATTTGAGATTTTTTGAAATTTCATATTTTGAAGAAATACAGGAAATACCAATTTATACAGAAATAAAAAATTTATAAAATAAAGTGATCATTAACTTAAGAAATTAAAACATAGAATGATAGTCTTATTTTTATTTTCTTGAAACTTCTTAGACTTGGTGAATATAGTTATTTAATTTTTTATTTGTATTTGACAATAAAATTTATATACATTATTATATTATTATTTGATGGTACTACCAGTTCAACCGATAACTACCACTTTGAAAATGTAATATTTCAATGAAAAGTCCAACGGTAATTTAGTTGGAATTTGATGATTTTCAATGAGTATTTTTCGTACAGTTTATTATCGTAGGATTTCCATTGGAATATACAATTTCTGAAATTTTTGTTTCCACCCATATTAGAACCGTGAAAAAATTTATCGTTGGAATCGCTAAAATCCAATGGAAATTTCAGTGAAAAACTCATTCCAGTGAAATATTTTCGTTGGATTCCATTAAAAAAATCCAACATAAATAATTGCATTGCAAATTCTGTTAAAATTTACTTTTAGTTGGAATTTAATCACTTTCTTGTTGTGTACGTACCACATAGCAATGACTAAGCCAGCATGTAGACATGGCCAATTGTCCCGCCCACCAGGTCGGTGGGCCTCAATCTCATGGTCCGTGACCGGCCCGCCCGTTGAACCGGCCATGAACCGCCAGTTCACCGACCCAGCAGTTCACGGGCCGGTTCCGAGCCGGTATGACCCTTAAAAAAAAAAACATGGCCCGTCGCCCAACCCACTGCGGCCATATGACTACTTGTACATATTTAAACGGTATGTTATGCATGCTAGTTGTTTCGTTGTGATTGATGATTATGTTGGTTTGGTTACTTCACAAGAGAGATACTAAAATTATATAATGTGATACATGGACCTTCCGATTTTCAGATCCACATAGGAACCGACTAATCCGGAATCGAGCCGAGTAGGACCACAAGGGCGGCAAAGCTCTCCCTCAAGAGTTTTAACACTGCCGTGTTCGAGCCCTAAGAATGCAACAGTGTTAAAACTCTTGAGGGAGAGCTTTGCCGCCCTTGTAGTCCTACCCGGCTCGATTCCGGATTAGTCGGTTCCCATATGGATCCGGAAACCGGAAGGTCCCTGTACCAAAAAATATATATATATAATGTGATTACTCGAATGGGAAAATTAATTACCTCCAAAGATAGCTGTCTAGGGTTATGCTATTCTTCAAAAAATAAATGGTTTACAAATGTGCTCTATATCACAAATTGTTCCCTTTCACATATAATACGTACCGTCTACACTCATGAATAACTTTCCCTATAAATAGTGACAAAAAAGGTGCCATAGACAGACATTTACAGATTTACTTACTGATCATTAGCGTGAGATGTTAAACATATTGTGTAATTAATCTCACGCATATATTTGTGAATAAACAGGTCGAAGAATGGCACACAGAGCAATTACCTTATTATTTCTATGTTCTCTCGTCTTGTTGCTCTGTTCTCACACCCAAGGTGCATTTTCACTTTACTTTTGTTTTGTGGTTTAACGATTAGATAATCGTACTTTTTTCACAAATATATATACTTTCATTAAAAAAATATCATTTCTTGACAAACAACATAAACTTATGTAGGACATATGTGTGTGTGTGTGTGAATTTTTATTCAAGTACCATGACGACGATAGTCTCGTTAAACGGTTATGCTACCCTACATAAGAATTTGTTTGAGGCGGTCGAATTGACCTGTCATTGTTTTTTTTTACAAAATTCATACTTAAATTATGAAATATCATGCTTTTGTATCTCTATTTGTATATATATAAGGGAAAATGCACCACAAAAAAGTCCGAATTTGAAATTACTTAACATTGCACGTGCTGAATGGCGACGTGTAATCTTTCAGGGCTCGGAATAGAATGCCCACCGACAATCACCCAGGAGCCGACCGGTTACATGATACTCCACAAGCCACAATGGTTGGTGACCATATGGATGGGGTGCCATTGTGATCTCTACGAGCTTCAGCTGATATGCCCGGGTTTTGCTTCGGTCGACCCGCGGACAAACCCTGCCATAATTCAAATGTATGAGCCTGATCACTGCCTCATAAACAAAGGGAACTATATGTATGGCTACGAGGCATACAGGTTCACCTACGCTTGGGACAAAGTCAACTTTGATATCAAGCGGTACCTTCACAACTGTACCTGGTACGGACCAAGCCGTAATCCAAATGTATGAGCCCAAACATCGACACATAAACCATGCCATGATCAACTTCAACTTTTTTTTTTTTTTTTTCGTGTCTGTTTATTTGAAGTGGTGCTATGAGATATATGTGTGTGGATGAGCTTGTAAATAAGTTTATTGTACGAGTTTTGTTGTTATTAGGGTAACAAGTCATTGAATACACATACTTAATTTATTCTAGGCTAAAATGCATTTTTAGTCCTGACTTTTGGATGTCAGTGCAATTTTAGTCCTCTCCTATAGGAATGTGGCACATTTAGTCCCGCAATTAAATTTTTTGGCGCAATTTTAGTCCTTCTCACGTCAATTTTGGGGATTTTTCGCCGGAAATTGCACGTGCCGCCCACGTGACCCATTTTCGCCCGATTAATGTCGACCTGGCCCGGTTCTTGCGCACGTGGCCTTCTACCCTGCTCGACGTGGAAATAAAAACATTAAAAAAATAAAAAAAAAAAAAGAAAATGAGATGGCAAAGTAACATTGCCACCTCGGACGAAATTGGAGGGAAATTGGACGGCTCGTAAGTCTTTATATTGCCCCAAATTGTTCAGACCCGTCCCATGAACCCTAATTTTTCAATCATGGAGGAAGTATCAGAGGGCTCCTACATTGCGCCGGGGAAGGAGTGCGATTGCCGCAAACCAAGTGTTGTTCGTACATCTTGGACATCCGAAAACCCAGGAAGACGGTTCTACTCATGCAATTATAAGGTATCTTCCAATTTAAGTTTTGAAATAAAGAACCCTAATTTTGCAGAAATTTTATTTTTTTTTTTTTTTGTTTTATTTTGTATTAATCAGAAAGGAGGAGGGTGCAATTTTTTTTGTTGGGTTGATGGGCCGATGTGCACTCGGTCGAAGCAATTGATCCCTGGACTATTGCGCAAATCGAACGAGTTGCGCCAGATTCTTCAAGAAATTCAAGAAGAAAATGATAAACTGAAGGAGGAAAAAAAGAACTTGGCAGCTGAGATGAAAAGGCTGAAAATATCCATGAGGACCAAGTCAAAGAGTACAATGTGGTTGTTCTTTGTTGCATCTGCTATCATCTTGTATCAGTATCTGAATAATAAAGACTGTGGTGCCCAAGGTTCATTTAAAATGATTGCTTAGGATCATCTGCTATCATCTTGTGTTTGGTGTTTTTGTTTATGTAACTTTAGCCTTTATGGCTGGTTTAGGATGTATGAAGGTTGATGGATTGTGAATCCATGTAGTTGTATTTGTAATGTTTCTGTTTGTGATGGATAGAATCCATGTAGTAGTGTTTGTTATGCTTATGATATTAAAATGAAATGAACTCTCTGAAGGTTATGTGTTCTATCCTATTTATGTTTGTTATACTTTTAAGTACATTTCATTTCCAAAAGCACATGCATCTGATATGATAAGCAAAACAAATACTCAAAAGTAAAGTAAACTACAACAAAAATAACTTTTCATTCATTCATTGCAAGAACATCAAAAGCAAAACCACAATGTCTTCCCAAAATCACATTGTCTTCCAAAAAATAAACCAACTGGACCCCTTAGAACATCTATAATTGCTTGAATAAATTTCGGATGGAATTAGAGGGGGAGATTTCTGTAATCGAAAAAGAAATGAAATGAACAGTCGTCGTTTCTGCTTTCTCTTTCTTCTTAGTAGTGACCGTCCATTTTCCGTCCAATTTCCCTCCAATTTCGTCCGAGGTGGCAATGTTACTTTGCCATCTCATTTTCTTTTATTTTTTTATTTTTGTAATGCTTTTATTTCCACGTCGAGCAGGGTGGAAGGCCACGTGCGCAAGAACCGGGCCAAATCGACATTAATCGGGCGAAAATGGGTCACGTGGGCGGTACGTGCAATTTCCGGCGAAAAATCTCCAAAATTGATGTGAGAAGGACTAAAATTACGCCAAAAAATTTAATTGCGGGACTAAATGTGCCACATTCCTATAGGAGAGGACTAAAATTGCACTGACATTCAAAAGTCAGGACTAAAAATGCATTTTAGCCTTTATTCTATTTTACATGGTTGAATTATCAGCCCGTCAAGATTTTCGGGTGAACTACTTCGTTGAGAATTACGAACCGGATTAACCTGCAAAACAAAATTAGTTTGCAAAATAAAATTGGGGAAGGCACCTAGTAGTAGTGACACTCTGACGCTTAAGTTAATTAATTCAAGTTAAATAATGAAATGATAATGTTTTATAAGTAAAAGAGGAAATATAGAAAGTGAAATAATTTTCTCACGTTTAAATCATACTCAAAATTTAACTCAACTTTAACTCAATCTCACTAATTTTAATATTATTTATATAATTAAATATTATAAACCAATCATTCGTCTAATAGTTGTA